AGCATTGTATATAATAAATTTCAGTAATGTAGTCGAAAAATTACTTTAGACATGTTTCTTTCAACATGTGAAGCTGATTTAATTTTTAGAAGTATTTTTGCTAGTGTTGAATTTTCGACAAAAGTGGAACTCCTGCCTAGTAATTTATTAGCACGTTATATAGTGTTATACAACAATTTACGATCTCGCTTAGATCCCTTATGAACATACGACAGCATTCGTTCCTCGTCAATGTCTTGAAGTCAAATAAGTATGTGCTTGCTGAGTGTAATGTTATTGTTCATTCCGTTTTACTTTCTGTCCTCACTCATTTCTCTTCCACTTCTCGCGTACTGTTTCATACTACTTAATAACATTCAGCAAATAGTTGTATTGACAGCAATTTCAACGTCTATGTTGTAACGTAAATTTATCGTCTTATATTATGAAATATTTACATAAACTTACGTCGATTATCGGATTTACCACTATAATTACTTTATCTCAGACATTGAATGAGTTTTCCATAATTTTGTTTATTTGTGAAACGTGCAAAAGGCAGTCGATAGCTCTGTCTAAACGTGGTAACAGTTTATTAACAAGCAAAAACCGAAACAAGAGCAGAGAATATGGAGACCGTTGCGTTTTAGCAAACGTTCAACAAATTACCAAAATTATGAATAACTGCTCAAATGTTTGAGATAAAGTGATCATGCTGATAAATCCTATAAATGCCATAAGTATTTGTGAATATTTCAGAATATTAAACAATAAATTTGCATTACAATGAGCTTAAAAATTTCTGTTAATACAACTGTTTACTGAGTGTAAATAAGTAGTATGAAACTATACGCGAAATAGTGGAAGAGGAGTTAGTAATGAGAGAACATAACACATACTTAACACCGCCCCCTAGAGACAGCATATCTTTCCTTTCTCTCACTGATTAGATCTTTCGCATGAAGACATTTATAAATGACAATCGTACAATTCGCTCTAACCACAGTCACTCTGAGAAGTCTTTCTACGCTCTACTACTCAATCGTCTGCTACTTCTAAGTAACGTATCTTACGCACGTTTCTAATGCATATTTTTCACCCTTACCTTTGTCATGCATAGCAGTTGTATTAAATCTTGATGTAACCCAATATAGTCTTAGATTTAATCAAAGTTCGCTTGTAATTGACCAAGGAGTTGACATGATTCAGCATCTAGTGGGCATGTTGTGAATTCATTTGATAAGAATGCTTCAGGTGCTTTAATAACGTTGTTATTTCGATTGTTCTTCGATTTTCACCCTGTTCTCTTCATTTCAGTCTTCTACTGATAGGCATTCCACTTGCGGTGGATGCTACGTACTACTTATATATGTCGGTATAGGTAACATACACCACACTGTTGTCCGGGAATACTGGTTTGTATGTGATGAAATCTCCTCAACTGATCTTTATCGTCGTCGTTGCAATCATTGTTGGGTGCATAACGTTGGATGACATTCATTGCGCTTCCCTCCTTCTTTGTTTTGAATGATGCTTTGATTATCCTGGATCCATGAGATTCCCATCCTACAACTACATTTCGTGCACCAATATGTAACTCCATTAAATCTATCTCCTTCACATGTCTGAAAATTAGTAAGGTTATAAATAAGCTCAAGGTTTCGAAAGGTCACGGTGCAGATGGGATTTCATCATTTCTCTACAAATATGGTGGTCCAGATATCCAACTTCTTCTCCTCAAACTGTTTACCCTCTCTATGGAATCAGGCTCTTATCCTGACCGTTGGAAAACCGCGTACGTCATACCACGTTACAAATCCGGAGATAAGACTGACATGAACAACTATCGGCCAATAAATATTACTCCAGTTATCTCTAGGATTATGGAAAAAATTATTAGTGACGAACTATCCAACTATTTATTGACTGAACAATTTATTGGTGATTCGCAACATGGATTTCTTAAAAATCGATCTTGTATGACATGTCATTTTGACTTCTTTAATTTAGTCTATTCGCTTCGTAGCCAAGGATATCTAGTATTAGTGCTATACCTGGACATTTCTAAGGCCTTCGACATGGTCAACCACCAACTTCTCATAGGTAAACTCGCATCTTATGGGGTCGAAAACCCGTTACTAGCCTGGCTTGATTCCTTCCTCGGCAATCGACATCAAATAGTTAAAATCAACTCTTCATTGTCGAACGCAGTCCCTGTTAGAAGTGGGGTAATTCAGGGTAGTGTCTTAGGTCCTTTGCTCTTTTTAGTTTTCATTAATGATATTTGTGAGTGTTTTAGTGTGGGTAAGTCCCTTTTGTTTGCAGACGATCTTAAGGTGGTGTACTCATTTTCTCCACATGAGCTGAGCAATATTCGAAATTGCATCAGCATGGAGCTTAACAAGGTAGCACAGTGGTGCTCAAAATGGCAGCTGGAGCTCAATACAGCTAAATGTGGTTGGCTATGCTTCGGTGATACATCACTCAACCTTAATCTTACCATAAATGGTGAAATGTTATCTAGGTTACACACAGTAATAGATCTAGGACTTAGGTACTCCGATGACTTGTCGTTTACTGAACAGGTAATGAAACAAACGTCCAAGTCTCAACGCCTTATAGGTTTCATAACTCGAAACCTTCATAACAGCGAATCTCGTATTTTAATGTACAAAGTCTGTGTTCGACCACTCCTCGAATACTGCGCGTTTCTCCTTAGTAGCACGCGCATAAAGGATAAATTAAGACTGGAATCAGTACAGAGACGATTTACATTTCGTACTCTTGGACCTGATAGTGTCTTGACATATAATTCGAGGTGTAGTAAACTAGGGCTTGACCCTTTATGGATGAGGAGACTGAAACTTAACCTTATCTTCTTTTTCAAAATACTTAACAAACTCTCCTTCACATCCAGTCAGGCGATTCAATATGCTAAGGCTTCACATTACGACATTCGTAACTCCTTGTCTTTAGCGAAACAAACATATTCTAGGTCTTCTCTCTATATGAATTACTTTACTTGTAAGTTTTCTAGACTCTGGAATAATTTACCCCAAACTACCCGTATGTTAGACTCTCTCCCATTGTTTGTTCGGTCAATTAATGCTTTTTGCTCCTCTGAAAATGCATTAAATGCTCTAGCGCCTGCAAGTGTATCTTACTCCACAAGTGAGATTATAGGAACTTTAAATGTTTAACCTCTTACTTGCTATCATTGTTTTGTTGTTCCGTGCTCTTTGCTTTAATCTTACTTTCTCTAGTTGTAGATAATTAATAATAACTCGCTCTGGCACTGGTAACAACCTTACAGAATAATGTTGGTCAATCATCAGGCTATCCACTTGATGAAAAAATGACAAGTTCCCTGGTGTTGCATTGGCTTGCCGTGACATATGCCATACTTAAACTGTTTATCAATTACTAAACCAGCAAACATAAAACGTTCTTATAATTCATGTTTGTTCTCTACATTAAATGTTGATTTTTATAACAATCTGATCATGCCTGTAAACTGGTGTGAATTCTGTAAATAATATTTTCAGAATATATATTATTATTATTATTATTATTACAACCAAAACAAAAAAATAAACAACGGTAGATTTTAGGTCAACAATAACCAATCAACTTGGAGGTTCATAGGAAAAGCTATGAACCACATGTGGAGAAATTGAAACACTTCAATTATATGCGACGTTTATGCTTATGATGAAGTTCAGACTGACGACGGAATCTCCATGACCAAATCATCCAGCTGAGATAACAAAACTCCATCATAATAAGATAATGGTTTGTATGTGGTGAAATCTTCTCACTGTGGTTCCATAAAAATTTGATAAGCTGGTGATTGTAGGTCCTAGGGACTAGTGATAAATAAGTCAAGAATGTTGTGGTCTATCGTCCTTATTTTGAACGATTCAAATATTGAAGGTAGTCCATTTATGGTGATCAGGCTGAAGACGGGAAGATGTGGGCAATTATTTCGATTACGTCAGTATACCACTAAAATTTCACTTACTACATTGATTTGAAACAATCATCTTACATGTGATGTTTCACCATTTCTGTCGAAAATAATATCTATCAATCAACCGTTGATTCAATTATGTTGAATACTTACTCTAGTCATCATATTTTCATTTTCATACTACAAGCAGAACTTCAGTCTATACTTCATGTTAACGCATAGCAAACGACCGAGACTGAAAATTTATTCATCGTAAAGACGCTCACATTCAACTTTGATTGGATTTCAATTTTTTCTGTGCAGTCACAATGAAAGATCTTAAGTCAGAATACTATTAGACTGTGTGATAAAACTGTGTTCATCAAGAAAGACTGAAGAAAAATAACTTTGGTTAAAAGTGTTTGTGAGATAATGGCTACCGATGGAACTGATTAATCAGGATGGGAGAAAAGAAATAAAGGAATAAAAAACTCCAATGAAGAATTCTCAGCATGAACAAATCCAGAATGTTTAGTGTTGAAGAGAACACATCCAGCCTAAAACAAAGTCAAGTTGAATCAAATCCAATATTAACGAATTAATATGAATTGGTAGTAATAATAGTAATGAGAATAATAATTGAAAATAGTCTTGCCAATCCTTTTCTGTCATGTCAGTTTTGATTTATTTTCAGTTGTCGTTGTCGCTGTTTCCGTTAAAAGTAAACTACTATGAAAATAATTTCATTGGTAACTACTACATCATGTGATGAATTTAACTGAACTACATGTAAGTACTACTTTAGTCGGTCGATTTTCTTCAATTTCATAGCCTCTGTATTTTAAATATGTTAAACGCTCTGTTAACCAACTCATGGACATTGACCAACTGTGCGGTTTCATCTCTAATAGACGATTTTATAAGTGAATTAGTGATTATAATCTCTTGAAACTATCGTGGTGCATAATTCAAAATACCACTAACTCGTTCAAGTAGTCAGATGTGTGAAATATGAGTGAATAATTTGTTAATAGCTTGTTTCAACATTATACAGCACAATTCAAAGTTCAATTATCCATACAAATTTGATTGTTATAAAGTGATTGTATCTAAAGTGGTTACTGATCAGGCAAAGTTCAATTCCGTTATCCAATTTACGCATACATATAGTATTACTCATTTAAGTTAACATTATTATGATTAGGACAATATCAGTTTCACACTATCACGTTCAACATTTGAACAAATAGCATAGATATTATTGAGAAAACATTGTAAAAATACCACAGTTCGGAGGTTGAATTTATCATAACCAAATAATTGATTATTTTGAAGTAAAATGAGGTTCGTAAATTGTATTATAATTTGTGCATTTTACAATTATATGTGTAATTTCTTACCAAATTTTCCATTTAATTAACTAGAATAAGAACATCACCAGTTTCACATTCATTATGGTTACAAATAAAGTAATACGTTATACAGTAATATAATGATTGGAGTTTCGATTTATTTTCAGTAGTTGTAAAACCCAAATGATGATTATATCATTTAGTGTGTGTATAAAGTGTTTACAGTTATAACTGTATTGATTATTGATTTTCTATACCAAATAGAATATATATTCAGGTGACTTTCTAAATGCTTCACAGTATTACACAAAATTTTTCATTATTAGTCGATATCGTTAAGAGACATACTGGAAGTTGTGTTGATCAAAACAATTGTTTGTTTATAGTTTGGGATTACACAGAAGTGAGTATCCATTACTTCCTACTTAAAATGATGTCAAACAACCACTGAGTTGGAACTACATGTATATATATGTTGATTACCGATTCCCTAATTTCTGTGTTTATATTTGAGTGTTCAGCCTGCACTATAAAGACATTTGCCTCTGATTATTCATATGTGAAAATGGATGACATTATTAATGTAATATATACATGTGAAATGTTTTGATGTTCCTTAATTATTGCTGATTGATGATCACCTGTTTGCATCGCCTTCTACCACGCATGATATGATTGTGCTTAGAGTGGTGTTTCATGTTCAATGTGTTTTGTGGTCAGGCTTTTGAATTATATTCATGGATGCTATTTGAGTGATAATAGAATGAGGTCATCTGACTCTTTTCATCGTCTTACAATTAACTACTGGCTTATGAAGAACTCAAGGATCAATAGGCGTTGATTCTTGGATTGTCTATCATCCATCACTGTGTTGATTCCTATTATACCTTTTCTGTCCGACCGACAATTCGGTGTGTGATATTGATCAACTCATCAGCTTTACCAACAAATTACCAAAATACGTATCATGAAAATATTCAACACCTATTCATCAATTCTAATTTTGACACTACCGATTGTTGAACGTCGGATAAAAGCTTGATGTTGAAACATATATCAGTGATTGATTATCGACTAAGGATGAAAAGCGAATGACATTCACGAGATTCTCTTATTTTACTACAAGTATCATTGGCAAACAAAATCACTTCTCATTTCAATTATTTTATTACTGTGGATGGAATTGCATTTGAAATGCACTATATATGCCCTATACATTCTAACTAGTATTCGGTGATTTCAGACGATCAACAGTGAGTGATGAATGTTGGACACCGATCATATGATAAACTGCCGAAATTTAGTTTATTCTCGATAATGTAATAAGAAGACGAAGATAATCATAACTATGTGATATATTAGTGCAATACACTTCGAACAATTTCATCACTCATATATCTGTAAAGAACATTTATATATAAGAATAAAAAGTCAACTAGACTGGAAATGTGGGGTAAGAGTAGACAAGGATAAAAAAATAATAAAAATAATATGAAAACAATTAGACACCTAATCACTATGGATAATAAGCTAATATTACCAGGGTTTTTTTTAGAGAGAACAACTTGTTTTTGAATACACAAAGAAGAGTTTGGATTTTCGTATGGCTAAGGTTTCAATAAACCATAGTATACGCCCTTTCACACTTTTATACAACACCATAAAAGCCGAGTTAAGATCAATCTCATGATCTGTTTCGATTGTGTGTTTCGCAATAGAGGATGATGGATGTTTATCCTCTTCAATAATGGGGTCATTTGATTCTGTTTGTTCTTGCAACCATTTTGATACATGTTCACCCACCCTAATTTTCAGATCACGATTGCTCCTCCCTATGTATTCATTCAAATTGGTGAACACAGTGGGATGTGACACAATCTGTTCCATGTCTTTTAGGTTTTGAATGAAGCATGGACCTCATTCTTTCTTTGGCAATGACTTTCGCTGCACAATACGTTTTTGTTGATGATTGATTTAAGCCTTTGTTTCAATAATAGGCTATATGAATCATCTCTAAATCGTAAGGTGATGAAGACAGGTTTTTTCTTCACCAAGGCAACAGTAGGTTTCACTGTGCCATGAACTTTCCATCTACTGATAAATTTAGGTGGATAACCATTCCCGATTAATGTCTTGTTTAACAACTTAACATCATCATCAATAGCGTCGTTTGTGCAAATACGATCAAACTTGTTAAATAGGCACTTTACCAAACCCCGTTTGTATTGCACATGGCAATAACTATAGTAACTAAGGTATTGACCCGTCCACGTCGGTTTTCAAAAAGTTGATCTTTTAATTAAGTCATCTTCTCATCCGCTCAGAAGTACATCTGGGAAGGGAAGGTAGTCGTCCTTCTCTTCTTCGCATGAGAGACTGATGTGGTTATGGATAGTGTTAAGTTTATTCAATAAGCAGTCAATATCATCGTTTCTTTCATATATAACTAAGATATCGTCCACATATCTCTTATAAAGTGACAAGTTTTCGATTAAATCTGCGGACAGATTTTTCACATGTGCAATAAACACATCTGCTAATAATGGTCCTAACGGACCGGTTAAAACTAGTTAGAAGTTAAATCTATTTTCATTGATTGTAGTTACACGAACAGGTGTAACTGTCGTTTGCATAAACATAATACTCATTCACAAAATCCTTAACATCTAATTGTGTGATGAAATATTTTCGGAATGATATGCAAAGTTCTATTACATGAGAATCATATTGCACCATTTCATCTTTTCATTTGCAATTTCTTTCCAGACTCAACTCAATCGTCACTAAATTACGTTCTATCAATTGTCATAATCTTTCAAAAACAGGGATGTTGCATAATTGTGTAATTGGAAAAATGATCAGTTTGTGGACACAGGGAGTAAAGTACAACTTGGATCGTTTACAAGAAGCATCAAATAATCAACGACAGTATCCAAATGATAAAGACATTTTTACTTTGAATGTAAGCAGAAATGATCTATGTATGCTTTTGTTGTCATCATGTTACTACTATTCCGACAACGATTCCTGAATATCATTGTTCTCAGTTTCGTTATCAAAATGGTTTGGATATATAAACAGTTTATTTTTATTCCTAGATAACAGTTCAGTAACTTGGTTTAAATTAACAGCTTCTACTCTTATCGGTGTCGAGGCGACGACTGCAATGCATAAAGTGATCAATGTAGAACTGAGCAATCGTTTAATATCTTATTATTATTTTTATCCACGAATCTGTGACAGTCGAAATTAATACACTCGTATGTTTCACTACAATGGAAGTGTATCTTTTAAAGTTATTCGGTAATTGAAGGGCGGGAAACGTTTATCACGCTGGTGATACATGAAGTAAACTTTGAACCATTTACGTTTCCTATGTTAGGTATGGATATAATAATGTAAAATTAAGAAATCAGTATCCTATTCCATAGAACCATATCAATGAATAGGACTTCTCACTTCTTACACCACAGTTTATAGATTGCAATCGGTAAAACACTCTGTAGATAAATTAATCTATAGGAATTTCCACCATAGATTTAAGAAAGTTTAGTCATACAACATGGGAGTTTTAAACAAATGTGAAACCAATTTGACATGGTAAAATTATTAGTGTTAGGAAAACATAAACCCAATTTTGAGGGCTTCTGTGTGTTATTTCTATTTTACTCATTTACAGGTACTTGCAATTACAGTTCTTCAGTTTGCAATCACTTTTGGAGGAACGAATTTGTTTATTTTAGTGTATGTAATGTTTCTGTTTAGTAAACTTGAATCAAACTTATTTTCAGCCAACAGATCAGTGACTGGATTAAAAAACACGAAACAATCTTATGGGTCTCAAGGTAAAAACCACTCACTTTACTATCATTATCCATTACATTAATAATAACACTAATAAAATGAAAATATGATGGTGTTCCCCTTTAAGCTTTTGTTAAATTGACAAACTGTCAACACGATTAAGTATCATTATCCATCAAGTTTACTCACACATACATTCACATAATATCGAATGTCTTTCACGATAGTACTGATAATCTGATAAAATTATGAATTCAATAAAATGGTTGTAACAACATTTTGTTGATTAAACGTTCCAAGAAATCCAAATCAAACAGATGATTATATGGTCATGTTCTTATTATAGTTTTAATATGCCTGATCTGTAATAGGACAAAAATACTTACCACCGTACTTACATACGTCAGTTATCCCTCGTTGAGGAGCACAGATAGTCCACCAATATTGTCCATCCACCTCTGTCCTAGACAAACCTGTACAGTTCTTTCCAGTTGCTATCTGTTAGATCCAAGCCTAACTTGGATTGTTGAATAACTGAACAATAGGTTTGTGAACGCGTATCTTAATCGAAATGAGAACAAGGTGTTTTGGGTAACAACGGTTCTGAAATCCATCATATATACAAATATACAAATTTATCTAAACGAATATATCCACACAGTTATCCAATCAACAATTGATCCCAAAATAATCAATGTAAATAAGAATAAATAGCAAAGTGATAAGAAAGAGATGAAAATTTACTCAACACACCAAAAAGTAAGTGTTATTCTATCCCATCTGGATAGATCAAGTAAGATTCTGTTTAAGCTCCTGTTCTATAACACAAAGTTTTTCAAATTCTGGGAAAGTGCTACAATTAAAACCCAAAAGCACGATCCCAATCAAAATCAAACAGCACAATCAAAGAGCGAACACTCAATATGACAGCCGCCAAAATAATATCAGTTAAAACAAATTAAGTACAGTTCAAGAAAAAAACTTAGAAACTCAATGAAAGCGATAGAAAAACCAAGAACACTATTATGAAATTAAACATCACAATCAAAATTGGTATCAAAAATACTAACAGTAATGTACAAATAAAGAAAACATTAGGAAGAAGCTATGAATTTATCCATGAAGGGATTTTCACATACGAAACGTTCAAAATGGATTCTACACAATCAATCCTATTCATTTCTACTTCCAATTCTCGATGCAGTGTGTTCTTCGGCCTCTCATTTTTCCATTTCTTCTCAGGATTCCAATTGAGTAACTGTTAAATTGAGATCTGATTATTTCAGATTAAGTTATACCCATAATATGAATTGGTTCTCCCCATTCAGCGTTTGTTAGCAAATTTGTATGCACAACACAGATAGTAAGATAAGTTTGTGTAGGGATGAGTGAAGGAGAGGAAGTATATTTGAATGAATAGATTGATAAAAATAAGTGAACGAGTGTGGTACAAAACAGTGAAAAGAGATCGGTAGAAAAAATATAAGCAGAGAGGATTTTTTTCAATAGAACAATCTCCTTTCACTTTCATGAAGAATAAGAAAAGAAACTACAATATGACATCAATCGGCTTCTATTCTCAGTTGTGTCTGGTAAGTCATTAAGCTACTGAGTTGCACTATCTCTCACACCGATCATAGTACAGTGATAGAATGATAGATACCAGTCCTGTACACATTTTATACTACTGAACTATGTCACAGATCGACCGTCCCTCAAATTTCTACTATCACTTCCAGCATCTGAAAATGAAGCATGTCATAGAAGTCACTAGAATCACCTTCATAGCACGTACCGACAGATACACTGGATTTTTAGTACTTTACCAGAGTGTTGAATACGGGTCACAGATAAACAACAAACGCTAATATTGTCTTTTCAAAGAGTCAGCTTGATTTATCTGTTACCCGATCTGCGTTAGTGTGGTAATATTGAAACAGGCCAATATGAATGGAAGATCCATTTTCCGAAAAGCTCATTCAGAATATTCATCATTTAGTAACACTCATCTTTCAACTGGTCAATGAATTGAGTTCATTTAGATAGGAAAACAATTTCACCATAGACAGACTGGCGTATAATTTCAGGGATATACATAAACATAGAAAATACTCAAAACGAAATAGAAAATGGAGTGAGGTAAAAATAAAGACACACAAATAAGGTGGAGAATAATTGTGTTTTTCGAGTTAGCAGTGAAGTGGAGACGGTAAATCCATCTCTCAATAAATATTCATTGCCATATTTATGAGAACGATGGGATATTGTGGGAGCTCTCAGGAGGAGCATCCTGCAGGAATCATTGCCCTACAGGTCTAATCCCCAAGCAGTGAAGTAACATCAACAATGAACATTATTTTATTGAGTGATAACTGAGCAAACATATGAAACAGTTTCCTAAAACATCTCCGACCAAGTTTCCTACGTTCTCACAGCACGAAGGTCTCCACTCAATGCTTCACATCTTCATTATATCGAAATATAAATTGTAACTGCAAATGTTATTCTTATATTCATCATTAAGTTAATATTCTAATCATTATTCTTCACTATCTACAGCGTCATCTACTTAGTTCTGCAATTGATTTGGATGTTTGTTCCAGGATTATCACGGAAATATCCATACAATATAATGTATTTAATACTGATGGTAAGTAGTAATTCATTTGAATCTCATTAAGGATTTACACACAGTATAAATCTTTACATTGGATTCAGTTTATATATCCATACACCAATCAATCAATCTATCTATTCGTTTGCCTAGTCGGTCTAAACATCATTATCTAATTAGTCACTTGAGTTTTGTAAGGATGAGTTTACTGACTTGCTAACTTGCGTCTGTTACTCTCAATCGATCATGGGCCATCGACCAGCTTTTTACAGCCCACCCTGTCTTGAGCCTTGCTTTCTAGTTCTATCCAAATTCTGCTGATTCTTATCACGCCTGTCTCCATTTCTTTGGTCTTCCTCTTCTCCTTTGACTTTCTAGATTCCATGTGAGGGCTTGTCTTGTGACGCAGTCGGGTGACTTCCACAATATGTATCTTATCCATTTTCAGCGCTTCTTCTTGATTTCTTTCTCCTCTGGAATCTGGTTTGTTCTCTCGCACAGTAGAATGCTGCTGATAGTGTCTAGCCAACGGATCCGAATTATTATTATTATTATTATTATTATTATTATCATTATTATTATTATTATTATTCACAAACACCTTATGGGTACATAAGTGCTATGAAGAAACCATTTCGGGTTTCTTCAAAAATGCAATAATACACAATTTTCAATAATGTTAACAATACATATGCCATGTTTCAGAAAGGAAGGAAAAGGAAAATAAAATATCAATAATAGAATAGTAATAATAAATGAGGTTCTGTGTAATTAGCAAGAATTTTGAATTGATTTTCAAGGAGGAAAGGGAGAAACTAAAGAAATAGAAATAAAGGAGTCACGGAATACGTAAATATCTTAACGCAGAACAAGAATAAACAACTATGTATGTATAGCAAAAACGAGTAATAAAGATAAAATAAAACAGAATAAATTAATAAGTAAATAACTTATTATCGCAGTAAGATATGACGTTAAAATAAGTGATTGTGCGAGCACAGTCATAGTTTTGGGTGATGCTCTGAAAGTTTCAATTAAGTGCAAAAGATAATCAATGTGTATAAGGTGTATATATCTTGTGTAGACAACTGTTAATCAACACCTGTACCTTCTGGATGATTACTTTCGTAGTTCTTCACGTCTCCGTCCCATACAGTAGAACTGTTTTGACATTTGTATTGAAAATTCTGATCTTGGTGTTGGTTGACAATTATTTTGAATTCCAGATGTTCTTCAGTAGTAAATATGTCGCTCTTGCTTTGCTGATTCGCACTTTCACATCTGCATCAGATCCACCGTGTTCATCGATGATGCTGCTCAGATATGCAAAGTTTTTCACATCCCTCAAGCTTGTCCGTCAAGTGTAACTCGATTGGTGCATGCTGCATTCTTCTCCTGAATTTGTAGTTGCGTGTGTGGCAGAAGATTCAGATCATCTGCGAAGTCTAAATCGTCCAGCTGCATCCTGCCTGTCCACTGTATCCCGTGCTTTCCTCCAGATGATGACGTCTTCATGATCCAATCGACCACCATGAAAAAAGAAAGGGTGAGCGGAAGCAACATTTCATAACATCGGTCTTTAACTCGAATGAGTCGGTGAGTTGTCCCCCATGGACGATTTTCAGTTTAAACGATCATAGGAATTCTGTATGATATTGACTATCTTCTCAGGCACGACACAGTGTCGAAGAAGTCTCCATAGTGTTGTCCTGTGAACGCTATCAACTGCTTTCTCGTAGTCATTGAAGCTGATGTAGAGTGACGAATTCCTTTCAACTGATTGTTCCACAATGATCCGTAGAGTTGCAATTTAGTGTGTACCCGACCTATCGTTACAGAATCCAGCTTGTTGATCTCGGAGTTTAATGTCTACGGAGACCTGCTGTTTGTTGGTTTCATTGAAGCTGGTCGTTTCAAAAGTTCTTTGAAGTGTTCTACCCACCTGTTTCGTTGTTCTGCAATGATGATGATTATCTTGCCTTCCTTGCTTTTCACTGCTTGTTCTAGTTTGCCGTAATTTCCACCGAGTTACTTGTATCATACAGCTGTCTCATGTTACCTTCTCTTGCAGCCTTTCCGATTTCATCGCTAAACCTTCCACATAATTTTACGTTTGTCGGTTCTGATGCTCCTCCTCACGTGCTTGTTTACTTCTGTGCCTCTTTTATGACTTTCTAGATGCTCTCCACAGTAGTTCCCTTTACATAGAGTAGATCGTGAAGCCCCAGAACCTGTTGTTTAGGGCTATCTTAAATTTGTTGTGTTTGTCAGTATCCCGAAGAATAGCCAAAATAAACTTTTGATATATTGTGCGCCCCCTTTGTCCAGTGCTTCTTAGGATTTAATTTTATCATCGCGACCACTAAGTGATGATCTGATGCTATATCAGCTCCTCTCCTGGTTTTCACATCCTCCATCGTCCTCTTGAACTTTATGTCGATGCAGATATGGTCAATTTGGTTGTGCGTAGTGTTGTTTGGTGAAGTTCATATGGTTTTGTGAATGCGTTTGTGTGCGAATATAGTGCCGCCAATGACCAGTTTTTTGAAGGCACATTGGTTTGCAAATCTCTCACTATTTTCGCACCGTTTCCTCAGTCAGTCCATGTCGTCTGATGACGTCTTCACATCCAGTGTTGTCCATTCCAACCTTAGTATTTAAACCTCTCATCTGAATGATTAGGTCCTTTATTGTGCACTTCTCGACGATCGACTGTAGCCTATCGTAGAATCGGTCCTTAGCATCTTCATCGTAGTCGTCGGTTGGCGAATAGCATTGGAGGACATTAGCAGCAGGCGGAGTTAGGAATTAACAGATTACCCTTTCGGTTACATTGTGATTTATTTCCTTTCGAATTGTACTGCCTTCATCATATAAAAGCGGTGTAATTACATCAACTGTTATTCACCATATCAATATCATAAGTCTCTTTACCATTATCTTTATTATTATTGCAGACATTATTTTCAACCCTTGCAATCGCATCGGATGCAACCTTGTATTTTGAAGCTGTTGTCAAGGTTATGTTCTGTGTGTCGGTGACATTATTCAATCTCATTATTTGCACCATAAGTGTTCTACAATTCGATTTCACTAAATATTATACCGTAAATCTGTTTGTCTCACTAACTATTGATATGGTACTATTAATTGGACAAATTGGTTACTTCATATTGTCAAAGAGTAATGTAATTATTTTGTTTGTTTATGCAAATCTGATGTCTAATTGTGATTCTATAATTAAATCTGTTATCATTTGTTATGAATGTGCTAACACAACGATGATTAGGCTTTTCAAGTTATGTTTTTTCAGTTCTGATGGAGATATCAGATATTCAATAGAGCTCTAACTGCCAATATTCAATAGAAGGCAAATTGGAAACAATATAATCTGTTCTCACTTAAACATAAATAAAATTAGATATAAGTCATCGAAACATATATGTATCTAATTTGTCTTAATTCAAATATTGTTTTGAGTATAATGAAATCTCCATAGATAAGTTCGAAATTCGTACACCTTCAATAGCCTACATAGTCATCACAGAATAGTTGTTTGAGTTGAACGCAATTGTTGAAAACCACTAGAAAGTAGATGAACGATCGTGATTTAAGAGAATTGAAATGGTCAGTTTATTCCTCTGTCTTTTCATCACTACTCAGTACCTGGAACTAAAAGAAAACACCATGTATTCTCATCTTCTTAGAATGAAGTTGAACACGTGGTGTATTGGATATAAACTAAAAGTCTTGTCGGTAATATACTCGTCGCTACACCTAGAAGCTCTGAATTACACACACTTCTTAAATGTCTATGAGTTTTATAATCTGGTGGGATAATAATAATATATTCTGAAAATAATAATTGCAAAATTCACACCAGTTTGCAGGCATGATCAGTTTGATATAAATAGCAACATTTAATGTAAAAAGCAAACATGAGATATAAGATTGCTTGATGTTTGCTTATTCAGCAGTTGTGAAGTAGTGTTTTTATGACATGCATCACGGCAAGCCAATGCATCACCAGGGAACTTTTAATTTTTTCTCAAGTGGAAAGCCTGATGTTTAACGAACGTATTTCTTTAAGGTTATTTCCAGTGCCAGAACGAGTTATTGATAAATATCTACAACTAGGGAAATTAAGATTAAAGCAGAGAACACGGAACAACAAAACATGATTGCCAAAATATGTCAGTCAGGTTACCACTGTTTATGTTAGATATTATTCGAAGGAGTTAAGGTTACTAGTGACAGTGTTAATATAAAGTGACAGCAAGTAAGTGGTTAACCATTTAAAGTTCCTATAATCTTACTTGTGGAGTAAGATACACTTACAGGCGCTAGAGCATTTAATGCATTTTCAGAGGAGCAATATGCATCAATAGATTTAATAATAATAATAATAATAATAATAATAATAATAATAATAATAATAATAATGGGAGAGATTTTATCGTACGGATAGTTTGTGGTAGACTATTCCAGAGTCTAGAGAATTTACAGGTATGGTAATTCGTATGTAGAGAAGATATGGAATATGTTTATTTCGCTAAAGACAAGTAGTTCCGAGAGTCGTAATGAGAAGTTTCAGCAAACGGAATCGCCTGGTTGGATGTGAAGGATAGTGAAGGATCTCAAACTGATATAAAATAGTTGTCCAATGATATCTTCGATTGATAATATTCACTTGGTTGATATTAATCATTGAAGGCTGTAAATATTCTGTGAAATTTCATTCTCTGAGCTCAACGATTTCAGTGTAATACACGATTAAACCATTCAGATCGGGGAATGAAAATTCACTGAGTTAATGTTTATGTTAGTGAAAGTTGATCTGTCAATCAACGTTTAGTAGAAAGTGATTCATAAAGTTACATATTCAATTGCTCATACTCGATTTTTTTGTTTTGATGTTAAATCAATTACTGTCTCACGTAATTGATCTTCAATAACCTGAAATTCATTTCGACACTTTTACTCTACATCTTTTTTTAGACTGTGCTAAGTATCGCTGGTGCAATTGTGTTTCCGTTCACAGTATTAGTAAGTCAACTTTTCTGGAATTTGCTGAAACTTCCTCAACTGACTACCAAACACGTATTACTTGAAAGTCAATGTTGTATAATGTATTCATTTTGATTATTGTTTCCTAATTGTTTAACCAATACTATTAGCAATTTCAAGGCTTGCCAACACTCCATCTTGACATGTGAAGTTGGTCACACCATGTTGTATATTGATTGAAGTTGGACTTGTTGATCATTGAATCTTGGCTCATTGGTCTAGATGTTAGACGTGCTCATAAAAGATATAATATCCCGAATATGATCACGATTATGTGTTGTCATTGCGTACTGATAAAAACCACCATACTGAACAAAACAGGTGTCCAGTGCATCCAAATCTCACATGGTTCCCTAACTCACACTAACTCATGATCTTGCTGAAATCCAAAATTCTACACCACACCCATACTAGTAGTTTCTAATTGTTTGGCAACTGACTGAAACTCATATTTTGATGAGAAGTGTATATTTTTAATTAAGTCATTCAACTTCTTCATGATATTACTGATACATAGAATCATCCAATACTGACTTCGTAGTTCATGTTTAGTCTAACAAAATTGAATCAAAAATGGAATTGGAAAGAGGAAATTCAAAACAGGATACGAATTAACAACTATTTTATTTATACATGTAATCATTCAATTATAAGGCTCCAAATAAACTTAAGATTAAAGAATCTTCTATGCAAGGTATTTAAAATGGAAATGGATCCAGCACCTGATCAACTATTTTAGAAATCTTAGTAATTCAACTATAGTATGAAGAATAGTTTTCCAAATATTCCGAATCTGATTGTACGTATTCTTACATATTCATAATTTCTGTTTCATAGAAATTATTATATGAAGTGAAGATGGTGTTTGGAAACGGTAAATTTCGGTACTATCAAACAGATTTAGTGTTAGCAGCTGGAGTTCTTTACAATTGTTGGTGGAGTTTATTTTTGACATTGATGTGGATATCTTCGTATTCAGGTTTGAAAGAATCGAACTCAACAAATACAAATTCATCTAACGTTGAATCTTCAGTTTATTTAATAACTCTAATGAAATTCGATTGAATATGTATTTCCAGTGGAAACATTACAAGAATATTTGTTTACGATGAGTCTTTAAAATGTTGCTGTTTTTTCTCTGAATATACAGCCATATTTCAGTGTTCAATGTGTCATGGAAGATGGTTGTGCTGTGACTTATTTTACTCTTTGCATATTTTATTCATTTCTGAAATTGAAATCTTTGTAATTTATACAAATGTTCATGTAAAATGAGATTGTGAAACAATAATTGCTGAAGTTTAGTTTGTGTTGTCGTTGAAAATGTAGGTAATGATGATTGCTGCGCACTGATAAAATGAATGAACATTAGTCGTATATCGAGAATACGAGTTTCCACCATCGCAAGTATGACTCCAAACTTATGTCTAAGATAAAGTTGCTTGCGTTTGCCGTTATCAGCGTGCAGATGGTTCGATCGACTACTTAGACTGAGGGTTCCTGAGCAGGCGTGCTTCAATAGAACAAGAAGTTACTAGCAGGTTAGACGTTGTCCAGTGTACGAGCAAATGGTAAAAACGTCGAAAATATATAACATGAGATAGTGATTTGTCCCCAACAATGAACGATAATAATTAAGCCATTGATATGATGAATGGCACAAAACAAAATAAAGATGATTGATTGTAGCGAAAAGCTGATTAAAATTAAAGGCATCCCCAGACATAATGTAGGACGATATCGAAATTAAAAACTGTTTTACAAACTAAACGAATTTTTGACAACAATTCATATTTCCTAGTAGTATTATCAAATAATACCACTGCTCAACAGTTACTAGGACGAGAAATTCTCCACGATAAACTTGTGTTTATTAAGACCGAACATTCCAATTTCCTCTGATTCGTTATAAAGTGAAGTAGACACACCATTGAGAACTTAAACTAAACCATTTTGGCATTCCATACTTTTCATCATATGGCGTGTGTTATTGATGTCAATATGAGTAGTATGTATCAGCAATCGAAAGTTAACGGACTGTTGATGATTAAGATCAAAGGAAAGAGGACGTGCACAGAGAACGATTTCTACGGAAGTGACGTAATTTAGTGACGATTGAGTTGAGTCTGGAAGGAAATTGCGAATGAAAATATGAAATCGTGCAATATGGTTCTCATGTAATAGAACTTCGCAAATCATTTGGAAAATATTTCATCACACAATTGGATATCAAGGATTTTGTGAATGAGTATTAGGATATGCAAACGACAGTTACTCACCTTATTGGTGAGTGTGCACGCCGATGTGTCTTCTATAATATTCTATCTGTGTGACTTCAATCAATGAAAACAGATTTACCTCAATTTAGGCAATTTGTAATATGATCGGTGTCCAACATTCATCACTCACTGTTGATCGTCTGAAATCACCGAATACTAGTTGGAATGTATAGGGCATATATAGTGCATTTCAAATGCAATTCCATCCACAGTAATAAAATAATTGAAATGAGAAGTGATTTTGTTTGCCAATGATACTTGTAGTAAAATAAGAGAATCTCGTGAATGTCATTCGTTTTTCATCCTTAGTCGATAATCAATCACTGATATATGTTTCAACATCAAGCTTTTATCCGACGTTCAACAATCGGTAGTGTCAAAATTAGAATTGATGAATAGGTGTTGAATATTTTCATGATACGTATTTTGGTAATTTGTTGGTAAAGCTGATGAGTTGATCAATATCACACACCGAATTGTCGGTCGGACAGAAAAGGTATAATAGGAATCAACACAGTGATGGATGATAGACAATCTAAGAATCAACACCTATTGATCCTTGAGTTCTTCATAAGCCAGTAGTTAATCGTAAGACGATGAAAGGAGTCAGATCAGATCACTCAATTATCGCTCAAGTAGCATCCATCAATATACTTGAAATGCGTGATCACATGGCACATTAAACAAGAAATCATAATCTAATTGTTGTGTCTATATGAAAGGCCATCGTCAATTTGTAATGACATTACAATAGAACTCCGCCTGTAGCTCCTCCAGGGGCTACTGCCGGTCCCAAGCCCGGGTAAAGGAGGAGGGTTGGGCATGGGGTTAGCGACCCCATCCCGTAGAAAATCAACTCGCTAAAAAAACGCTAACCAGAAAAATTCATTCAAACCATTCAAACTCTGCCCTGGGAGTAGAAGGAAAAATGACGTCTCATGATGAAAGCCGAGTTCCTTCGGAAGTCATGAGGCCGATGCACCTTCTTACAACCAGAGCGACAATTTTTATAGGTACATGGAATGTCCGGACAATGTGGGAGACTGGCAGAGTCTTCCAAATTTCTGCGGAAATGAGGAAATACAACCTGGAAGTGCTTGGAATCAGTGAAACACATTGGACGCAGGTTGGACAACAACGACTGTCTTCAAGGGAACTTCTGTTATACTCCGGTCATGAAGAAGAAAATGCCCCACATACACAAGGAGTGGCACTGATGCTGTCTAGAAAAGCACAAAATGCACTTATAGGATGGGAATCTCATGGACCGAGGATCATCAAAGCCTCCTTCAGAACAAAGAGAGAGGGCATTACAATGAACATCATCCAATGCTATGCGCCGACCAACGACTACGATGAAGACGCTAAAAACCAATTCTACGATAGGCTGCAGTCAATCTTTGAGAAGTGCCCAACCAAAGACCTGACCATTCTAATGGGAGATTTCAATGCCAAGGTTGGAAAGGACAGCACTGGATACGAAGACGTCATGGGACAACATGGACTGGGAGGAAGGAACGAAAACGGTGAGAGATTTGCAAACCTATGTGCCTTCAATAAACTGGTCATAGGTGGCACCATATTCCCACACAAAAACATACACAAAGCCACTTGGATTTCACCGGATCACACTACACAGAATCAAATCGACCATGTCTGCATCAACAAAAAGTTCAGGAGGACGATGGAGGATGTGAGAACCAGGAGAGGAGCTGATATAGCATCCGATCACCATTTGTTGGTCGCCAAGATGAAACTAAAACTCAAGAAGCACTGGACAATGGCGCGGACAACATCACAAAAGTTTAATACGGCCTTTCTTCGAGATGCTGACAAACTCAACGAATTTAACATAGCCCTCAGCAACAGGTTCGAGGCCTTTCATGACCTACTCAATGAAGAGGGAACCACCATAGAGAGCAGCTGGAAAGGTATCAAGGAGGCAATCGTTTCAACATGTCAGGAGGTTCTGGGCCAAAAGAAGCACCATCACAAGGAATGGATCACTGTTGGTACACTGGATAAAATTGAAGCAAGGAGGAACAAGAAGGTAGCAATCAATATCAGCCGAACAAGAGCAGAAAAAGCCAAGGCACAAGCCGAATACACAGAGGCAAACAAGCAAGTGAAGAGGAGCATCAGAACCGACAAACGTAAATATGTGGAAGATTTAGCGATGACAGCGGAAAAGGCTACAAGAGAGGGAAACATGAGACAACTGCATGATACAACAAAGAAACTTGCTGGAAATTACCGTCAACCAGAAAGACCAGTGAAAAACAAGGAAGGCAAAGTAATCAACGATATTGAAGAACAACGAAACAGGTGGGTAGAACACTTCAAAGAACTCTTGAATCGACCAGCTCCACTGAACCCACCCAACATCGAAGCAGCACCCACAGACCTCCCAATCGATATTGGCCCACCAACAATTGAAGAGATCAGCATGGCCATTAGACAAATCAAGAGTGGCAAAGCAGCGGGACCAGACAACATCCCGGCAGAGGCACTGAAAGCAAATGTAACAGCAACTGCCAAGATACTCCACATCCTCTTCGGTAAGATTTGGGATGAAGAACATGTATCAACAGACTGGAAAGAAGGACTTCTCATCAAGATACCAAAGAAAGGCGATCTGAGCAAGTGCGACAACTACAGAGGCATCACTCTCCTCTCAATACCAGGAAAAGTCTTCAACAG